ATTTTGCATGAAAATATCCAGGGATACACTTTGAAAAATCACAATGAAATACCCAGGGATACATTTGAAAAATCGCAATGAAATGCCCAGGGTATCTATTGAAAAATCACAATGAAATACCAAGGGTATCTATTAAAAAATCACAATGAAATATCCAGGGCTGCATTTGAAATTTTGCAGAAAATGCGCTGGGTATCTATGGAAAATTCACTATAAAATACCCAGGCCTACATTTGAAATGCCTTTCAAAAAATCCTAAGCATTATAGATATGGCCTCTAGGCTTAAGTCTAAGTTATAGAAATGACTCTCTAGGCTTAAGTCTAGGTTATAGATAAAAGTGGTAGCCACCAGTCCTTACAATGTAAAATTGCTACCCTCAGTGACAGAAGCGCATGATGATCAAGTCCTGCTAAAGGCGGCCACCACTCTGGAAACACATACTTACAAGTCTTCGTACACAGCCAGTACCGTGACGTCGGTGTAAACCACAACTCATTGAAGCACTATGCAACACCCCCCACATAAACCCACCATAATCGCATGGCTTCGACTCTCCTTTGTACTCGCCCCTTGAGATGCCAATACCGCCATCCCAGTTTACATGGCCGACCTAGTGCCAGTCATAATATGGGAATCAAATTGAAGCACCCTCGTCGAGAATTCAGTGAGGTTTCAACCGCCCCTCCTTCGACACCATGCAGTTGTTCAAGGAAGTTGGCTGCACGCAGTGATGCCGGTGTAGAGGGAGAGCCTAGCACGCGACCTCGATTTTTTCAGCCAAAGCCGCACGAGGACATAGCCCATCTTGGGCCAAATCACGCAGAGTGACGACCAGGGACCGAAAATAGGGAATGCAAGAAGACACATGGCTGAGGGACTCCTGTCCCGGCCCTTCCAATCATCCAAAGTTTTCCTTCCACCTCAATCCCCCATTCCACTTGCATTCCCGTGTCTTCCACCTCAACTGCCTCTCCCCCTACTTCAAATCCTATTAACCCTTCATCCCTACCCTCACCCAAACTTCCAACCATGCCTTGGACAACATGAACTCTGCCTCGTCATTTCCGCTTCATCGCCACGCCAAGTCCTTCCTCCACTGTTAGAATCGACGTGTTCAATGCTGGGTGGGCGAACCGAGTGCCTGAGGATGTTGTGCTTGATTCTAGGTTTCCAGTGAGGAGATTTCTGTGGACCTGATTGACGTGAAAGGAAGTTGAGATTCAAAGGGTTGACCTTGGGACTCAACCTCTACTCCACACAATGTGCATATAATCACTCGGAATTGGGTATCATCGTTTCATTGTGCTTCTCAAGCCCGATCTCGGATGGCAGATGCGAAGGAGAGGGAGGAATGTTGATGCGGACCATGTTCATCTGTTGAACCGTTGCAGGAGTGTATCGTGCATGGTATGGGCGTTGTTCCCCCTTTGGACTCTTCGACGTTGACTTCCTCTTCGACGGTGCCATTCGCTCTTGCTACGGTGAATTCGCCTTCAAACCGGCCTTGTCCAATTTGTCTTTGACCGCCCCCCCCCACTTCGGATTCTGAACAAGGGAAAGTAGCATCGCAGACTGTGCCCACAAAGCAGCCACCACCAGCTCCATCTACCTCTCCACCATCTCTGAATACGACCTATATTGGCACTACGTCCTGGGCCTCGTCTGCGAAGGCCTCTTTCGCATCTTCTCAGCCTCGATGAGGAAGGCCCCAGCTCCTACTCTCAAACTCCATGGGCCTCCATGACTTCTGTGAAGATGTCGATCAGCAACGGTATTTCTGGCCCCGGGAGATTTTTGGGAAATAGTATGGGTTCAAAGAGATAAAGGACCTTTAAGAGCCTGTGGCTTTGTAGACAGCGACGTCGGTGCAGAGTGGGGTAGCCTCAAGTTTGTGGAGATTTCGATCTTGCGCCCTTCACGATGAGTTGTTTCTTGTGCTTCACGCCTTTTCTGAAGCTGACTGTTCTTGCCGTTAAGGACATTGTGGTGTTCACCACCATCTGACTTCTTGACCACTAGGCGGGACATAGACTTCCCTCAAAAAAGTTGGCCCTCGGCTCAAATGGCTAGTATGAAAGTGGTGTCCTGTAAGGTCTTACGGTTTTACGGAAACTTCTTGATCTGATTATGAATCAAAAAGTGAAATTGTGCATCATCGAGGCCGCCAGCAAAGCACTCTTC